AAGGGGAGGTGGTGGCCTTTGGTGGGCTTTCTCAGGGTCGGGGTCTGGAATGGGAGCAGTGAGGCCGGATGGAGCTTCCACCTAAATATCCCAGACTCCTTGGGTATATGGGCACAGGTTCAGGTCTACTTCCTGCTGGCAAGGGACAAAGTGGGGATAAGGGAGTTGGAGTTGGTGGGCCCACACTCAATGGGAGGTATGGGTGAAGAAACAAGTTGGTTCTCCCCTTTCACCATCTGAATCCCAGGGACTGAACTCAGGCCATCAAGATTGGTGGCAAGTGCCTATAACCCACGGAGCCATCTCACCAGCTCCATTGTTAATCCTTAACCCTAGTTTTCCTTTCTTACAAAAAGTGGCCCTTCTTACATATCATATATATGAAGGAGGGAGCTCAAAGTCACTAGTGAGTATTTTCAAAGAGAAAACATTTACATATGTCAGGAAGTAGCCATGCAAATATAAAACTCTTCATTAGAAGATATTATGTAGGGGATGAGGTACACTAACCATAATTGTTACCTAGGGCTCTGCTGTGACTTGGAAGCATACACCTAAATTTTCTCCAATATTTTTTAAGGATCTTCAAGATTCCTGTACAAACCTGGTCCCTTTACAAAAAGTGGTCTACAGAGCCCTGGAAGAACTGGAGAAGAGACTTGACATGGTGGTTCTGGGTTTACTGTTCAGTGATGAAAACATGAAGGCATACCCTGATTTGGAACTCATTCTCAAAAGCTTTGGAAATGGTAATTGGGTTTAATATCACCCCTGAGATCAAAGTCCTTCCCCCACTCCTCAACAACCATATATTAAGCATCCACCATGTGTTACACATTGCACAGTGCAATTGGGGACATAGTAGTTAAAGAAAAACTACCACGTTATGCATCATCACAAAGCTTGCGTCTCATGACTAAAGTCGACACCCTCCAGAGGTCTGCAGGCTGGGGAGTTAGACTGACAAGACAATGAGAGCCTCACCAGCATCAGGCTATGTAGAAAAGGACAGGGAGCACTAAGCCCCAGTAGGGAGCACTGAGCCCCAGTGGGGAGCTCTGAGCCCAGCAGGGTGGCACTGCTGTGTCTCTTCAGTAGAGCCCTTATAATGATACACGTAACAGTCCACCAGGTTGACTACCACCCACCTTGAGTGACAGCTCAGCTGTGGGTTGCAGGATCCATCTTAGTTTAGCACCACAAGCTCATAGAAATCAACAATGTGTGAGCCAGTTCTTCAAGCCCATCCTGCCCATCTTTAAAGCTTGCCCATCCTGAAGTATGTGCCAGATCCCAGACATTCTATCCAGGAACGTCCCCTCTTTCTTCTTACACTGTGACAGCCTGGAAGCCATGTTTTGCTTCTTTGTTTTTCTGTTTTGACATATACTTTCTCTGCCTTCTGAACACTGGAAGAGGAACACAGCTCATAGTGTGAATTCTACATTTTTGTTCTTGACCTTGAGTGTCTCCTCTCTGTATGGGAAGCATAAAGTCTCCCTTATGAGAGTCTTCTCTGTCCAGGACATGATGGGTGAAATTGTCATGTGGGACCCATTGAACTTGGAATCATGCAGGGCAGGGGGCTCAGAAACTCCTTTATGTGTAATTTGTAAATGCTGCCCCTGGTCCCTGCTAGAGATCTCTAACAGTGGCCTCCCTTTCTTCCCTCTCCCTCCCTCTTCAGTCTCACAGAACACATTCTGTTCCCAAAGAAGTGACAGAGGAGACCCGAACTCCCAGCTAAGTCTTGAACAAGGTAATTACACCTGGAGAAAGTTTCTTATCATCACAGAGAATAGGAAATAAAGGCAATCATTACCACAGTGTGACTGGAGGAAGAAATGGAGAAGGCAGGGAAGGGAGTTGGTGTGAGCCTGGTGTTAGCTTTTGTGCACTGGGACAAATTACCCAGGAGAAGCTGGGCACTCAAAACTCTGAGGCAGGAGGATTGTGTGTTTAAGGCCAGCCAGGTTTACATAGTAAAATTCTCTCTCAAAAAAAACAAAACAAAACAAAAACAAAAACAAAAAACAGATACCTTCCAGGCATTGGTGGCGCATGCCTTTAATCCCAGCACTCGGGAGGCAGAGATAGGCGGATCTCTGTGAGTTCGAGACCAGCCTGGTCTCCAGAGCGAGTTCCAGGACAGCCTCCAAAGCCACAGAGAAACCCTGTCTCAAAAACAACAACAACAACAACAAAAAAAAAAAACAAAAAAACACAGATACCTGATTTCAGTATCTGACTTCAGGCTAGATGGATTAACTTAAGTAAGGCCTATGTTTGGGCATGAAATCAAATAAATGGATTGGGGGAAGCAAGTCTATTCACTGCATGGTGACTTGGAGGCAAGGAAAGAGAGGGTGTGCCTGTGGTCCTTCAAGGGAACACCTTCATCGATCAAATCTGCTTCCACTAGGCTCTGCCTGTTAAAGGAACCACCATGAATTAGAGCCATGCTGAGGGGCAGAACTCTTTCTAACACATGAGTCTTGGAAGGAGGGGGCACTTGAGATCCAAACTGACTAACCTCTAATGGGATATAGGACCCTGGCAGAGTAACCATGACAACAGACAGTCAGCCTGATACCCACAACGAAGGAACCTGAGCACAGTGTCAGTAAGCCACATTGAAAGAGACTGACTTCTCAGAAATTATTGTGATTTAGAAAAGCCCCTGAAGGAGATGACCAATATGGAACTATGGAAGACAAAGCAGTATGGTCCATGGTGGCATCAAAGAGGAAACACTCTAGAAGAGAGATGTTCCTGTTTTGTGCCCTTACATGTACTGGTCTCTGACAACTGATATATGGTGAATGGGGTTTTCCCACACCAAACTCTCCAGACACCAGCAAAGTGTCTTATGATGTAATTACATTCAGATAAAGAGTTCAGTGCCTTGAGACACTTCAGATGCTGGTGTACAAGTTCCAGGCTGTGACTCTTGCTTCTGAGCAACTGGCCATAAATCTGAATTTACCATGTCCCCATAGGCTGCAGAACTTTGAGAGACAGAGAAAGGAAGAGGGAAGGAAATGAAAGGGAGCAGAAAGAATAAATGATAATAGCAGAAAGAACCGTGCTGCTACTTTTTTGCTTTGGCTAGCATCTACTCTTGGTTACTGTCTACCCAAGCTGGTGTCAAGGATTGGTATCATTTGAGTACCCAGTTTATAGGTGAGGAAGCTAAATTAACAGAGATGATGTGTGGAGTGGTCACAGGATCAAATGAATGCAGACACTCCAGAGTCAAAGACGGTGTTCTTCACCATGTACTGCTAATCTGATGGAAAACATGAAACAAAAGTGGGGGAAACAAAGAGAGAAAATACAGAAGAATAGTAAGAATGGGAAAAAAATTAAGGCAAGCTATCACTGACTCACATTCAAGGCCAGCAAGGATGAGCCTTCACATATATATGGGGAGGCTGTTTCGTGAAAGGACATATGGTCCAATGACTGCTAGAAACTCAGGTAAGGCCACATGGCAGGGGAGCTCTGGGAACATACGCAGGTATCCTTTAGTCAAGGATATGAAGACAGGTCACCACCTGGTGCTAGAGTGGCCCAGGCAGTACTTCTCTCAGCCAGAGCTGACGCTTGCTCTCTACCCCCACGACCCAAGTTTGACCTCAAGAATCAAGGGGAACTTGTCATGGCCACATGGGCTCCGGATTGATGCTTGGAGGGACACTTCAGCTCTTGCCTCATAAAGTCAAAAGAGAATAGCCTGTTTCAAATAATGAAATAAACATCTAATTTCTGTTCCTTAGGACCTGGTAACAGCTGTTCTCAAGGAAGCCTGCCCTGGTCACCCTCGGGTCCATCCTCATCTGATGGTCTGTTCTTGTTGGCTATAAGCATTGCTGTCTCATCCTATGAGTCCTAGTTAGCTTTCTGTTGCTGTAATGAAACACCATAACTGAAAGCCATTTGGAGGAAAAGGTTTAACTTATTTTATAGCTTATAGTCCACCATGAAGGGATGTCAGGTTAGGAACTTGAGGCAGGAACTGGAGCAGACACCATGATGGAACTCTGCTTACTGGATGGCTCCTCATGGCTTGCTTAGCCTGCTTTCTTATATATCTGAGGACAACCTGAAAGGGATGACACCGCCCACAGTGGGCTGGGCCCTCCCATGTCAATCACTAATCAAGAAAACACCCCCATATATTTGACCACAGGCCAATTAGAGGGAGGAATTTTTCTCAATTGACTCCCTCTTCCTAGATGATCCTATCTTGTTTTGTTGACAAAACAAAACTAACCCCACCAGTGCACATGTGAAGGTGCTCATTTTTGCCACAACATTATCTGAATCTGTAGTTTCTCCAAGTTCATGGTTCAAATATCAGGGTCTTGGTCCTCAGGGTTTCCTAGAAAGGTTTCCTCTTCTGGATGTCTTGCCCATATTCCTGAATTCACAATTCTCTGCCTGTGCCTTACTTGACTGACTGGATATAGTCTACATGCTCTGATCATATGTCCATAGGTGGGTAGAGAGGTGTGATGACCATGTTCCTTCTGTGAGGTAATGTATGTTTGCCTTGGGTTCAGCTCCTAAGGTCATGGCACAACTGGACCTCTCATATGGTACCTCTATCTGCCATCACTGAGATAACAGGTTGAGAGTCCCTCGCTAGACAAGATACACCACTGGGGGGGAAAAACTTTGATGTTTTATTTCTGTATTTATTTATTTGTTTGTTTTGTTTTATTGAGACAGGGTTCCTCTGAGTAACCCTCCCCTGTCCTGGAATTGGCTCTGTAGACCAGACTGGTCTTGAACTCAGAGAACCACCTGTCTCTGCCTCCCAAGTGCTGGGATTAAAGGCATGCACTACCATGGCCTGGTTACCTTTGATATTTTAATTAAACCCTTGACCTTCCTTAATTTAATAAATGTTAAAACTATCTCTTATTTAGAATATTCTAAATTCCAGGCATCGGTTATAATAATTTTCTTTGCTGCTACATTGATACAGGTATTCTTGTGTTTATTTTCTCAATAACTTTAAAATGATGTATCATCCCATTTTTCACAAGATCCAAAGTACATTTCATGGGATCTAATCTTTCACAAAACTAAGTGTTTGGATTCAGTTGTGCTTTAAGACCCTGGCAGACTAGGCATGTCTGGGTGAAGCTCTGCCTCTGTGATCCTAGACAGGTTATCTAGCCTCTCTGGGACCTGCTATCATCTCCTATAAAGGGATGTGACAGTGGCACATGCTCCAGATGGACATCAAGTGATATCACGAAAAGCATCTGTACTCTGTGTTTGGTACTTCATCTCTGCTGTAGGCATTTCTTGCTGTTGTTACTGATCCACGTATCAGTGTCATTTGTGTCAGAATCTCAACCTCTCACATTGCACTAAATGGGGATTTTCTTCTCTCTGGATATCCACCATGGATACTCACTATGAAATCAATTATTCCTCAGGTTGGAGAATTAATGATAGAAGAAATACCAACCACATCCAGGAAAACCAAACTGAGGATCATCAATCCTCCAGCCTCCAGATTCACAATGGTATATATGTGTTTATTTCTTTTTTTCGTGACTCATGTTTAGAAACATATCTCTGGCACTTTAGAAGGACTACTGTGTCGCTTTCAGGTGGGATATGTCATTTAAGAAAAGATTACTTAAAGTTAACACTTTACTTTAAAATGCTTTCAAAGATTTACTTGTTTTTGTTGTGTGTGTGTGTGTGTGTGTGTGTGTGTGTGTGTGTGTGTGTGTGTTTTCTCCATTTATGTATTTGTACATGTGTGTTCCTGGTGCTGTCAGAGGCCAGAAGAAGGTATCAGATCCCCTGAAACTGGAATTATAAACAGCTATAAGACACCTTGTGGGTTCGGGAAACTATAGCCAGGTCCTCTACAAGAGCAGCAAGTGCTCTTAATCACTGTGACATCTCTCCAGCCACCAACAACCCCCAAACACACTCAAAAAAAAATCTTTTCAGAGTGACTTTTATAATAATTGTTATACATCTTAAAATATTTCATTCAAAATTGTTAACATTTGAAAATATAGCAATATATAAGAGTCTATATTGTTAATTGTTCCTCTTAAGATGCAGAGTATGGATGAATAAGAAGCAATGAATGGGTGGGATTGTGGTTAGTGATGAGCAGAGGGACCAGGATGCAGTGGGAAGGAGGGATGCAGCTGAAATGAGTGAATTCTTGGTGAGCCTGTGTGTTCTGGAGCAAACCTAACAGGAAATGGCATCCTAATGAAGCTAATGACAGGGATGAGTGGATATACAGACTTATCCACCCACCACCCAGATGGGCCACAACTCAACAATGGGACACCAGTGCACAGGACCAGCAGACACACTGGCTGTGATGCACACAATTGTGGCTAGGACTGAAATCACATCCATGACCTTAAAAGACATAGGGTCTAACACAAGCCCACATGTTAAGTTCCATGTTAAGGGTTCTATAACTAACTTTTTAATTATTTTTCTCTGTAACTTAACTTTGTGTAGGAAATGTTAAATGAAAAACATGAAACTGTACTGCAGATTCTATTATTTGTTCACATACCGTTGAAGTTAGTGGAGTAGAATGAGCTGGGTAGACAGAATCCCCCATGGGTCAGGGAGGTTCCCTCTAGCAGAAGACAGGGCATCAATCATGAATTTTTTTTGCTCCTGGACTCCTTCCCTACACAGCCCATGTTTGCCTCTGACCCTTACCTCTGACCTCTGACCCCTGCTGTCTTCCTTGACAACTTCCCTTTCTAGCCAGCTTCCTATAGTATTCCTGACAAGAGAGGCATTTTCAAAAGCTCATAGAGAATGGAGAAAGCAAAGCCCAGGATTCCTCCAGCCCTGTGTTGGGGCCCAGTGTGCAGTAGATGCACCATTCCCCTCAGTGGCTCCAACCCTGCTCCAGATTCTGAGTTCCTAATCTCCCTGTTATTAGCTTCTAGGCTCCTTCAGTCCCTCCCCCAGTTCTCAGTCTTCTCTGTCTCTCTGTGTCCCTGTCTCTCTGTCTCTGTGTTCGGGCCTTAGAGGGATTTCTCTTTTCCTGTTGGATCCTGATGCAATGGACAAATAAAATCTTTCTGAAACAAAATCTGTTTTAGTTAGGAGTTTATGTGAAAATGGACTCTCAGAAGACCTCCTTGAAACAGTACAGATTAACCCATTGAGAAGAGACACCACTGGTGACAACACTGATGAACTGGAAAGGGACCAAGCAACCCCAGATGCTGAGCCAGAGGGTAAGACGGACTGGATATGAGCAAGAAAGGCTCTAAGACGTTCTGAGTGGGGGCACAGCAATGGGTTGGGGTCTGATACAAGAGAAAAAAAACCTGCTTAGGCACAAAGAGACAAAGATGAAATTGATGCACTGTTGAGACCTGTAGGTGGTATCTGGTAAAGAAACCCCAAAGGGGGAAGAGTTGGAAAAGCCTTACTGGGGGAAAGAGACCCTAAGAAACAAGAGTCTGAGGTTTGCAGGTGTGTACTGCCTTGCCTGGTTACTTTTGATCTTTAAAATATCAAAACCAACATTCTCTCCAAGGACTCAGTGGGTAGAAGGGAGGGAAGAGCAGGGTGGAAGTGAAATTTCAGGAAGGGCGTCACTCATGGCATTCAAAATGATCTTCTAGTAGAGTTAAAAGAGAATCCTCTCTCTCTCTCTCCCTCTCTCTCTCTCTCTCTCTCTCTCTCTCTCTCTCTCTCTCTCTCTCTCTCTGTGTGTGTGTGTGTGTGTGTGTGTACACATGTACACTGGTCTGCATGGACATGTGTGCAGAGGCCAGAAGTCAGCCTCTGGTTGTCCTGTGCTTTGCAATTATCTTCCAGGTTTTTTTCTTTTCTTTCTTTTTTTTTTTTTTTTGGTTTTTTTTTTTTGACTTTTTTTTTTTTTTGGCCTGTACCTCAATGACTAGGGTAGACAGTCTGTCTGGCCAGTGATACCCGGGGATCCACCCATCTCTATCTCCTGAGTATTGGGAGATTCCACCTTATGTGTCTTTTTGATGTGGATCCTGGAAATCGAACTCAGCTCCTCATGCTTCCACAACAAACACTTTACAGTCTGAACTGTCTCCTCAGTCCCTGAAAAGAATTCATTCATTGTAATTTGACCCAGGAGCAGAGCAACGTAGCCAAGGAACCCAAGTTTATCCCTGTTCTGTGCATCTGATAGATATAAAGCAGGAAAATTCATCATTTGTCTCGGGTCGTGAAGAGACTGAAGCAAGCACCAGCCACAATCAGGCATCTGAGGTCATAGGTAAGGATGACTGAAAGCATTGTTCCAGTTCCCAGGCAAAGGGTTTAGTCATGTCATTGGGGTCCTTCAGGACAGAGGGTAGCCAGGGGGAGTCAGGATGGGAAAGAGGCCCAACCAAAGCCAACCTCCAGCCTAGCAGAAGGAACTGGGAAAATTGAAGGCAGAAATGAGAAATGGAGGTTGATAAATGTTGGTGCCAGGTTTATTTTTCTAAAGAAAGAGAGGGCAGGCATAGGTGGCAGGATGGGGGTGGCAGTAGAAGTTAGGAAGAGAGAGGAAAATCAGGGAACCAAAGTTAAATATGAAAAGAGATGGACAGGGAAACATTCCAAGGACCAAGTGGTCCATCACCAGGTACAGATGAAGAAGAGGAGTGATAGGCAGAGACAAGAAGAAAGCTGAGGAGGAAAACAGGAGGGAAAGAAAGAGACAGGTGAGGGTGTGAGGAAGGGAGAACCAGAATGAGGATGCAGACAGGATGCATGTCAGTGGCTGAGGGAACACCTCCATGGCAGTTGCTTAGGTCGTTGGTTCACAGCCTTGCAAGGAAGGAAGTTCAGCCTTGAGTTAACTCTTCCTAGTGTTCACACTCAGGAGTTCCCTGCCGTGTGTGCCTGCTATCTCCCATAAGATGCTGTGGGTATTTGATCACACTGTGTGAAAATGTGTCACTGTTTTACTTCACCTACCTAAGGCACCTTCTGATTGGTTTAATAAAGAGCTGAATGGCCAATAGCTAGGCAGGAGAAAATAGGCGGGACTTCCAGGCACAGCTAGGAACTCTGGGAAAAATCTGAGAGGTTGGGGTTTACCAGCCAGATGCAAAGGAAGTTGGATTTACTGGACTAAGGAGAGGAAACAAGCCACTGGGCAAATTGTAGATAAACATAAACAGGTTAACTTAAGTTTTCCAAGCTAGTTGAGGACAAGCCTAAGTTAAGACCAAGCTTTCATAATTAATAAGTCTCTATGTCATTATTTGGGAGCTGGTGGTTCAAAGAAAATCTGACTACACTAAGACACTTAAGGATATTCTTTCCTTTGTGCAGTCCTCAGCAGCGAGGATTCTCATGATGGAAACAACCACTCGGGAGAATCCACCCCAGTCATCTGCCAGTCAAGTAAGGAATCCCAGAGAGCAAGACAGGCTGTGGGCATCTGAATCTCAAGCCACTGTTTTACGATGGATTTTGTTCTCTGTCTGTTCTGTGTGATGGATCCCTGGAACCTGTTGTGTGCATTCACTTTTACTTGATCATTTGGGAAATGCAGGGAAATTGTTGCAGAGTTTGGGGATTAAGCTTGTCAATCAATGGATTCTATTAGTAGATATAGTCATCCATTGTTAACATGATAGAAACAGGTAGGAGGTGTGTGTGTGTGTGTGTGTGTGTGTGTGTGTGTGTGTGTATGCACATGTACACCCAGCCATGTGTTCATGTGTACAAGTACTGGTGTGCACATTCATGGAGGTCAGAGGACAATCCCAGGTGTTGGTCCTTACCTTCCACTTTGTTTGAGACCTTTCCTCTTGTTCATTGATGCCTATGCCAGGCTAGCTGGATCATAGGATTCCAGGGATTCTGTCTCAGCCTCCTGTCCTGCAGTATGAACCCTAGCATTACAGACCCATTCTGCAGTGTCTGACTTCACATCTTGGGTTCTGGGGATCTGAAACCAGGCCCTTATGCTTGCACAACAAGCACTTTAACTACTGAGCCATCCATCCAGCCTCAGTGAGTTTGGTTTTTAAACTAATTATCTTGTTTATTAAGTGTTAGACTCATCCAATGATTTCCATGGAGAGCAGAAAGCTTTCCACTCCTGTATTGAAAGATCATAATGTCATCTGAGCAGAAACTTAGCCTAGAGTCCAAGGACAACTCATCCAGCTACCTTATATAGGCAGAAATAGAGGTTTGAGATAGAACATTCTGAAACCCAAAGTACTGTTTCTAACAAAGTTCTTCACAGAGTCTCTGTGAGTTCGAGGCTAGCCTGGTCTACAGAGCAAGTGCCAGGATAGGTTCCAAAGCTACACAATGAAACCCTGTCTCGAAAAACAAAAAACAAAACAAAACAAAAAAGAGATAAAATTAAACATAGCAAAAAATATACTAGTAAAAGGACACTCTGTTTACTGCATGACATTGTATCTATTAATACTAAAGAGTTAAAATAGTGCATTTAGTTTCTGCCTTAGCTTTATACTTTACAGAGAATACTAAGGGTAGTATTCCTCTGTCTATTGATAATAGTGTTATTCGTCATTAGCTTAGAAAGTCCACAGAAAATAATTTGTGCTCTTTACATATTAAGCAGATAAAATTCACCTAAGACCTGGAGAGATGGCTCAGCAGTTAGAAGTACTTGCTGCTTTTGTAGAGAATTCGGTTTTGGTTTCCTGAACTCACATCAGATGACTCACAACTGTAACTCTCCAAGGCTTACATCCCCTTTTGATCTCCAAGGGCACCAAGCATGCACGTGATGTACATACATGCAAACAATCATGTCTAAAATAAAAAAGTTATTATAACTCTTTTTTAAAGCAACTACAGATATCCCTTTCTAAATTATGGTTAAGATGTTGGCATATGTTTTTATAGGGTTTTAATGAAGAAAGTAGTGTGTGGTCATCACAGAACCTTAGCAGAGAGGCATGGTAGCTAGGTTATTGCTCATTTATACATGAAAAAACTAGAGCACTAGAGCTACCAGTGCTCAAGAGCCCGTAAAAATTGAAAAAAAAATCCAGGATGGGTCCCAGTCTTAAGACACATAGCCTCTGGAACCAGTTTCAATAGAAGAGGAGCATTCTTTCAGACTGTCCTAGGACCACAGGGTCATATGATGTAGAGCCATAGAACTTGACTTTGGGGATTCCAGAAAATCTCCCACACTCAGAAAAACATGCAGGAGAAGAGGTAAGAGAAAATGTGGACTCTTCAAGACAGCTGAACTGTGTGTTCAACAAGAAATTCATTCTTCTAGGCCCTAGTCTTCAAAATACAATACAAATTTGCTTTTAATTTTAGGAAATTCCTCCTTTACTTCTTTCTATATTGGTCAGGCAGGCTAACTGCTATAATGGATAAATCCAAAGAAGCTAATGATCTCACATAGCAAAGGTCCTTTTTTGGTTTTTGAGACCGGGTTTCTCTGTGGCTTTGGAGGCTGCCCTGGAACTAGCTCTTCTAGACCAGGCTGGTCTCAAACTCACAGAGATCCACCTGCCTTTGCCTCCTGAGTGCTGGGATTAAAGGCATGCACCACCAACGCCCGGCTTGTAAAGGTCTTTTAATGTTTAATAGAAGTTCATTTTTTTTAACCCTCAATAAACGTTCTACAGATTTTTAGGTGGAAGAGTTGCCTGGCCCTATTCTCAGTGGTCATCAGGGAAATAGAAGTAGAAAATCCACCATCTTTATTTCACACTCCTATAATTACCACAAGAGAAAAGCAATGCTGTCAAAACATATTGACCAAGATATAAAAGCCACAGTAGACCCCAAAAGGAAGAGAAAAGTGTGGTATGAGAATTTCCTCAGCTTCAGGCTTAGGTGATGAGATAAAATGGTAACCTGGAGGTCACATGGTTCCAAGGGTAGGGACCTGCTTGCCCTGGCATTTCAGAGCTCTGCAAATTTTTCTTAGTTTCCTCTTTCCAGATTTTTCTTCTTTCTTGGTTCCCCAATCAACATTGTCCCCTACCCACATTTCAGTAGTGAGTATCTAAGCATAACACACTCTCTCTGTCTCTGTCTTTCTCTCTGTCTGTCTATCTGTCTGTCTGTCTGTCTGTCTGTCTTGATTTAAGCTGTTTTGTTTTGTTTTGTTTTTTAAACATGAATTCTGAATGAAAGTCACTGTGTCATCTGAGTCATCTCCTCAGCTCTGTGATGGCGCACACCTTTAATCCCAGCACTGGAGGCAGAGGCAGGCAGATCTCTGCGAGTTTGAAGCCAGCCTGGTCTACAGAGTGAGTTCCAGGACAGCCAGTGCTTTACAGAGAAACCCTGTCTTGGAAATAAACAAAACAAAACAAAAAGAAAAGAAAGAAGGTGATTCTTTCAGAAGCCTGGAGCTCAGTACATTACATAACCAAGAAAGCATATTTAATAACATTTTTAAAAAATATAAGGGGATAGGGAGATGGCCCAATTGATTAAAGTGCTGTGAGAACTAGTGTTCAGATTTTTATCAACAATATAAAAGCCAGGTAGGTGTTGCAGCCCACCTGTAATCCACTGTATGGGAGGCAGAGATGGGCTCCGTTGGACAAGATGGCTAGCTAGACTAACTAAATCAGGCAAGCTCCTGGGTTCATTGAGAGACCCCACCTCAATAAATAATGTGGAGAGTGATGAGATACACCACTGTCTACTGCTAGCCTCCTTGTGCATGTACATATACATTACATATCACACACACACACACACACACACACACACACACACACACACA